GTGCTGTGGGAGTGGAAGGGGAGCACCTGCGACTGCAGCCAGGTTCATTTAGAAAAATAATGGAAATTCCCAAAACATTTAAGATGAAAACGGATTGGAGAGCAAGTTTGTTTATCTGATCTGGCTTTGCCTTTCTTGTTTTTGAACAGGTCATGAGGTGGTTTTGGACTGTGGTCTCCAGTTTCACACAGGAAGAGCTGGCCAGACTCCTGCAGTTCACAACTGGTTCCTCCCAGCTGCCCCCAGGAGGATTCGCTGCACTCTGCCCGTCTTTCCAGATCATTGCAGCGCCGACCCACAGTACATTGCCGACAGCCCACACTTGGTAAGTACCCCAGGCTGGAGGAACTTCCTGCCTTTGCTTTGGGAAGCCACCACTAGCTGGTTGTGGTGAGTAAGAAGTGTATAAAATATAATGTGTGTGGCTGTCTTGTCAGCCTGTTTTGCAAGCAGCTGATGGGGATGGTTTATCAGGTCTAGTCTATATGGATTTTTTCTTTTTTCTCTTCCAGTTTTAACCAGTTGTGCCTCCCAACTTACGACTCCTATGAAGAAGTGCACAAGATGCTGCAGCTAGCTATCAGTGAGGGTTGTGAGGGCTTTGGCATGCTGTGATTTCTCCTTTCCAGGAGTCTACTCAGTCTCCTGGCTCCTCATGGCCAGGCCAAGGTACAATCTGCTGCTTCTGCTTCCCTTCACATGGGCAATGGAGGTGGAGCACATGTAAAGGAATCTGTCATCCAGAAGGTATCATGTGGCCTTTCCCTATCCACAATATCTTACCAAGAGCTCATTTTTTTTCCTTTCCCTCATTCCCCTTTTGGTTCAGTGTTGAACAGCAAAAGCACTGTGGTGCATCCATAAGGAAGGTATTGCACTGGATTTCCCTGCATCTTGAACACACTTCCTATCATGAGATGATGAAGCCCATGAGCAGAAATTGCACTGAGGTGCCGAAGATCTGCTGAACTGCCTTTATTCTAGCGGGCTGGGAGGAAGGGGGAAGACCAGTTTGGAGCGCTGCTGGAAACCTGGCTTGTGAGAAGCCTTAGTAATTTTCCATGCTTTGGCTCAAGTGCCCCTGTGATGCTCCCCAATAGCTCACCTAACTGAATGGCTTGTGAGAGGTACATGGTTGTCCTTCCTTTCAGCACCTGTTTTTCTGGATTTCCTCCTTCTTGCTCTGGATGTTGCTCTCTGTTGCCTCTGCCAGAGGTCAAAAATGGTCAGCACCTCCTTGAGAAAGTAACCCAAAGCGGGGAACAGTCTCATCAGAGCGCAAGTGCTGGCCCTGACAGTGATTCTATACTACCTCCACCAGGGTCCAGCAGCAGAAGCGTCCTTCTCCAGCAGTGGCTGGTAATGAGCTTCTGCAAATGAACTGGAAGAATTTCTCCTCCACTGAATGTATCTGACAGCGTTTTTATGAAGTTGCACGGGAAGCTGTCCCATGGCCTTGCCTTCCTTTCCCTTCCTCAGGAGAGAGGGGATGGGCATGAGTGTGATCCCTCAGTGCTGAGCACGAATGCCTATCCCATGTTCACCTTCAGGGTATGTACGGATGTAGTAACAGTGGTAGGTCTGTGAGCAGCTCCAATGTGCACTGGGCTTGTCTTTGTGCTGAAGTGCAGATGGGGGAGTGATACTGGGTCGAACATGGTACCTCCACCCTGGCATCCCACAGGGTCTTGGCTTCTACCTCTGTCATGTGGTAGCCTGAGGCTTCTCTTTCTCTACTGGATTTCAGGCAGTTTCCAGAGGGGGATGTTGGTGCCTGGAGAGCAGCTGGATTCCTCTCCTCTTGATCTCCTACCTTCTCTTTCTCAAGCTCTCCTTTCTTGCTGTTCCATCCCGTGCTGCTGGCTTTCTGGCACAGAGTGCTAACTAGACCTTCGCCCACAGGGAATCCTGCCTGGGTAGTGCATCACACTGCAGTCGTCTGGCTTGTGGGGAGCAGGGTGGGCAAACCTGCATGAGAAACTTATGGTTGGGGGGTGTTATTGCTGGCAGTCTGGTCAGTCCTTCCCAAGGATATAAAGGGAAGGGGTGTCTGTCAATCTTGATGGGTTCTTCGGTAAAGCAAAGTCCAAGGAGATCTTTAGGTTTTCAGCGGTCCCAGGAGCCAAAGCGCTATTGGCAGCTGGCAAGCATTAGAAACCTGCATTGCTGCTGCCATGTTAGCAACATAAAGCTTTACTGGATTACAGAGGTACAGGGTTTTTTTTCCAGAATGGGGTCTCAAACCGGCATCTCTGAGCTAATTTTAGAATACTATGTTAGATGAAAAGTTACGTCATCCTCTTCAGCCCCTTTTTCTTCTGTGCTTGAGCTCTTCCAGGCAGACTGCTGCATGGTATAGATTTAAGATGACTGTGTGTGCTTCCTCAGTATAGCCTAGCTGAATTGACTAGGAGTTTGGGGAAACATTCTACATCTAGAAAATCTCTTTTTTAAGACAGCATCTTAGCTATTCTTGGGCTATATGTGTCACTTCTGTACAAAAATAATAAGCCATTATGGTGCCAAAAAAACAGCCAGCTGAGACTACTCAGGGGCATTTCTTAGTCTTGTGAATTCGTTCCCTCTTTGGCACCATGGTGCTGGGAGACTTGTCAGCTCGGGAGGTGCCACGGTTGTGCTCTGGCAGTTCACCTCGGTAGTGGCTGTGCTCCCCTTTTCTTTCTAATTTTTTAAGCATGGGCTCCTTTCTGTAAAGTCCCAGCCTCCTTCAGGTAAAGAGTGTGGTACCATTTTATTTACTCTGGGGAAGGCTGGTGTGGTCAGTACAGTTACAGCTCCTGTGTTCTCTGTGCCACCACCTCACTGCATCTCCAGGGACCAAGGGGGGACAGCGATGCATGGCTGAACCCCCCTCTCTGGGAGGCATCACTTGATGCTGCCCCCCTGGTGCAGCCTCCTGCTGCAGTTTTACCTGGCGAGGATGTTTCCAGCCCTGTGGCAGTGGCAGACTCAGCTGATGGCATCTTCCTCAGGAATCTTCTCCCCTCTTCCTTTGAGCCGGACTGTTGTTTCTCTTTGGGCAAAGTAGGTGGGCGGTGGACAGACTTCCTTGACTTGAAAGAGCTCCTAAATATTTTACAACGTGTTGCAGCCAGCAACTTCCACGCCACATCTCAGCAGCTACAGAGATGCCAAGGATTTTCTTTGTAACGCAAGCACAGTCAGAGTTGTGATGGATGCTCTTAATCAAAGAAACCCATCTATATTTTTTCCACAGGTCTGTAGCTGGTCCCACGTTCCTGGACTCTATCACAACGTTTCTAAATTTGTGTTTAGCTCTGTACCTGCTCCAGCGTGTTTGCTCATTGTGCTGTCCTTAGGCCGGCAGCAGGGATGCGCTGTGGTCACCTGTACTGTATGTTTCTTCTGGCAGAAGCTTGCTACTTTTTCTTTTTTTTTTTTTTTTGATCCTTTATTCCCACTTAATAGAGGCACTTCTGTAGAAAGCTTTGGGATCCTGTTACCATCTCGGACAGATTCCATGTTTCCTGAAGCTGTTTGGAGGTGCAAATGGCCTGGCCTCGGCCTGCCTCTGTGGGCTACGTTGCATGCTTTCAGAAACCAGGAGCTGTGGGTGGTTCAGGCCAGATCGGAGTTCCCTCTGGTGAATTTCTGTCAGGATTCAGCTGAAACTTGGAAGCCTGTGGTTGTAGTAGCTGATTTTGTAAATAGTTTGTATAATAAATAAAATATTTAAAAACCTTCTTGGCTCGGAATTCTTGGGGGCAAGTAGAGAGGGCAGTTGTAGGGGGCTGGTGGTGCCGCGGGAGGGCAGGGGCCCTCCCGGAGCTGGCCTGCTCCAGGGGCGAGAGCCGCCCCGGCCACCTGAGGGGCCTCCCAGGGAGCCAGGGGGTCTCTGCTGGGCTCGCCGCCCGCTCGGAGCGTTTTGTGCCGTAGGCTGGAAAACAGGCAAGAGCTTTTAACAGGTTGACTTGTAACCAGTCTAAGTGAATAATGCAGTTGGTGGAATAGCTTTTCTAATACCGCTGTGTAATGCCTGTCTCTTAGTCTGAGCTGCAGGTGTTGGTACCGCTGTATTCTGCGGTATTGTCAGGAGGGTTAGAGGAAGCCAGAAGAGGGGGCTTTTGAATCCTTTCTGTCTGTGAAGTTGTACGAGGCTGGAAACAAGGTACCTGCAAGTTTCTGCTGAAACACCCAAGTAAGTAGTTATAAATTGACAGCTGGTTGCCATTGGGGGCAGTATCAAATTGCTGTGATTCTCTGGGCTGTTCCCAGCTCTGATGAAAATCTCTGAATTTATCATTGGTTTTCCTTTGACTTTTTTGACTTATTTTCTTTGTGGCTTAAGAATTAAAATCCTATCTTCTAAACTTGAGAAGAGTCTGGAGCATGATTTTATGTCTGTTAGCATTGCTGCCTAGAAAGCTGCGCAAACATGTTTTGTTTCCTGGACTGTACAAAGATTGAGCCCCTCTTCAGTCGTTGTAGCAGCAGCTCTTTGTATGTGTTCCACTGTGCAACAAGGCAGATGTTCTTGCATATTATGAAATCAGCATCTTGCCTTGCTTCTTGCTTTCAAGCTGTGAATGCTGGCTAAAGAAGAGAGCGAACAGTTTATGTGAGTCTCAGGGATTGTCTCTGTGGCGTTGTGCTGGGTCGTAATATTTGGAAGCTGGTTCAGCGAAGCCAAAGGTCAGGTAGAGAATAGTGAGTGATGCAACGTGTCCAGAGCCTCAAGTCTTGAGGTCCCCTGAACATCTTGGAGATTGCAAGTCTAGAGTGCTAGAGCTAAGGTCAGGGCATTAAAAGCTGGATGACTTGTCTGCAAACCTGGCATGCGCGGAATGATACAGAGGAATTGTTACACTCCTTATGATACAAATCATGTGGACGTGTTTTGACATGCCATGAGTAGTATTCGCGGGAAGGGGGCCAAGCGAAGGCTGGAGCTTTCAGAAACACTATCAGTTTGGGTGTGCAGGAGAGCTCAGCCTGGTGATTATTCAGTTCTAAAGTTTTTGCCCCACTTTGTGGAGCGTGGAGCAAGAGATACCATCTTGCTGCCCCTGCTTTCTGTCCTCTATGCTGCTCACCACTTCCCTAGATGTCTTGGAGATGTAGTGACCCATTGCTGGCTTCACAGCCTCTGCTTATCCTGGTACCTGTGTTTGCATGGACTCAGGGTGAAGGGAGGAATCATGCCTATGCTTTACGTGCTGCAATCCTGCATGCCCCAACTTGTAGCTTCAGCAATAGCAAGTAGTAGCCTCATGTCGTAGGATCTGCGGCTGCACACACAGACATTTGACCTGAGATGTTTCAAGGTAGTTGTGCTGTTTGGGGAACTGGATTTTTGGCACAGTCAGTTCCTCTGCTAAGCTGTTTGCCTGAAACTACTGAGAGAACGTCTTCAGAAATCTGGAGCGCAGCATTTGGGAAAATGACGCTTTATTTGGATAAGATTTCTTCTCACTTTCATAATGTTATGGCTGAGTTGGTCAGTTGAACTAGGCAGTGACTCTTTGTTCCCCTAGTGAACTTTCTAGGTTTTGTATGATTTTGATGTCTGTTACCATCTTGTGTCTTAGTGACCTGGCACATGAGGCCAAAAAATGTTTGCACATGTGATTATGGGAACTATAAC